AAAAAAAAGCATGGATTTGCAGACAAAATAGAAGTTGCCCAATAGGAAATAAATTTCAAACAAATGCAATGAAACTTAGGAACCAGATGGACTATAATAAAAAACTTGCAAAGTGTCATAAAGGCCACAGAAGAGATGACAGAGGCTAAAAAAACTCAGATAGGACAAAAGACAAACTTACAGACTCAAGCTAAGTGAACCCAAAACTGGATGAGCCAGAACCCAAAACAAAGAAATCTATACAAAGTCCATAATACCCAAACTACTGAAAACTAAAGATCAGGAAAAAAGCTTACAAGTAAAGAGAAAGAAATAACACCCTATCAAAGGAGGAAAAATAATTCAACTGACATGAGATTTCTCATCAGAAACTATGTAGCCATAAAGAAGAGGCCTATTTTTTAAGTAATTAAAGAACTGTCACCCCCAAATTTAATACAGTAGTTTTCTCTTTTCTCATGAGGAAAGACTCCTAGCAGATGCTTGAAACCACACAGTACTTAACTCTAAATATTCCAATTTTTACCAATATATACATACCTGTTACATAATTTAATTTAGGAATTAGGCAAAGTAAGAGATTTACAACAGTAACAAAATAGAACCGCCAACAACATACTTATAATAAAATTTGGGGTTATTACAAAGTAAAATAAGAGTTATAGTACTTAAACACAGCAATGCAATACTGAGACAACACCATTGACAGTCCAGTTGAGACAACATCCAATGGTACAGAAAAAGCAGCTAAATTTACTGACGTTTAAAGGTCAAAGTTAGGCTCACAGTGAGCAGGATCATGCTAGTGGAAAGGAAAATGGCACGGGTGGGATCTGAATGGGTTGGGCTTAAGGATTTGAAATGCTTGGTCTTCCAGAGCATGACTGACAGCATGGTAGACAGGATGCTGAGTCAGGTCACAGCTGTAACCACTGCACTTGTCCTTTCCCAGCTCTGCCTACAAGCAGCAGGTCCCAGGACAAAGGTCTGGGGGGTTGGCCATGGGAGGCTTGGCCCTGAGGTGCTGACAGGTTCAGGTGAGAGGAGGGGGAATATCCCATAGGTCAGGTTATATGATCTATATTACCTGTGGAGGGAACACAGCCATGACCAGTACCTAGGCAAGGGAGTCTCTGCATTCCAGGGGATTGACATTTCTAATTCTTAGGAAGAAAGACAGGCCTGAGAAAATCCCTTTCCCTTCTCCTGCTCCATCAGCAGACCAGGAACAGCCCCAATGGCACTACCTAAACAAAGGAAACTAAAGATCATAACATTGTCATTGGAGCTAGAGACCACAAATGTAAATTGAGATCTATGTACTAAATTTCAACATGCCAAAATAAAAGATATAAACAGGACTCTAATTCTAATACACAAAATTCCCAAGATACAATCAAAAACCATGAATTACACAAAGAACCAGATATTCAAAATCTGAATTAGAAAAGACAATCAACTGATGCTAATAGTAAGATAGTACAGATGACAGAATTATATGAAAAGCATTTTAAAACAAACAAAACGTTCTTTAGCAGTCAATTACAAATTCCCCTGGAACAAATAGAAATTGTAACACTGAAAAATACAACAGAAAGAAAACAACATTGAATAGGTTCAATAATTGAATAGTAATAATGGAGTAAAAAATTACTGAACTTGAGAATACATGAATAAAATTTACACAATCTAAAAAACACGAAGGAAACAGACTAGAGGAAAATGGGCCTAAAGGAATTACTGTATATAATATTAATAATGTAAGATCCAGTGTTCATATCATGGATATGAACAGATGATGGAGAGTAAGTAGAAACAAGTTTTGTTTTCGAAATAATGGTTAATAAGTTCCTACTTTTGGTGAAAGACAAAAACCTTAGTCAAAAAAATTAGTAAATACCAAACAAGATAAACCTAGAGACATATATAACAAGACTCATCAAAGTTCAACTTCCAAAAAGCAGAGACAAAGAAAAAGCTTGAAAAGCAGCTAGAGATAAATGACACAGTACCTACAAGTACTGTAATACCAACTGGAGTGACAGTGGATTCCTCGTGAATGGATTCATGAAGTAAAAAGGGAGTGGCAGATTTTTCAAGTGCTAAGAACTATCAGGAATTCTAATCCAATAAAACTCCCATTAGGTATAAAGAGGAAATGAAGACATTCCTAGATGACAGAAATTTCTTTAGAAAGAAAGGAAACAGAATTCTGGAATATCAAGAAGAAAAACAATATAAAAGGGAAACACAGGTATATGCAAGAAACTATATCATGAGTTTTAGCAATATTTAATGACAGAACAGAAATTATAACACCATCTGATTCTCAGGATGTGGATTTTTTTTTTTTTTCCCTGTGTTTTTGTGACAGGGTCTCGCTCAATCAGGCTGGCCTTGAACTCAGTATGTAGCCTAGGCTGGCCTCGGCAATCCTCCTGCCTTAGCCTCCTGAGTGCTGGGATTATACCCATGCGCCACCATGCCCGGCCAGGATATAGCATTTACAGTGTAAAACCTAAATGGAAAAATAGCTCCTAGGCTTCACTGAAACAAGTAAAATTCCTCATACCAACATACCTGTGACATCCAGATCAAACATTTGAAAACCATACAAAGACTGATGCTCAAAACACTCTGCAGATACCAACAGTGTTCCAGTAACCACTCCCCCGCCCAAAGGCAAGAGCAGAGAAACAGGGGAATGAGCTTCTGAAGAAACAAAACAATAAAATGCCACACTAAAGTTCTAACATGTCAATAGGCACCTTAAATTTAAAAGTCACCAATCAAATGACAGCTTGGCAGAGCAGATTAAAATCACAACACTATACTCTGGTTTCTCTTCAGATTATATAAATCACCTTTTAAAATCACAACTCAAGAAGCCACTTCAAATTCTACAACATAGATAAGCTGTAAAGTAATAATATACAAACCTAAATTTAAAAAAAAAAATGAGTGGCTACTCTAATATCTAATAGAATAAACTTTGGGGTAAAGAAAATAGAGATAGTATATAAAAAAAGGATGACCCACTTAGAAGACACACGATTCTGAATGTGCCAAAATACATAAAATATTCACCAAATACCACACTACATAAAGTAAAACTGGCAAGACTCAAAATGTGATTAAAGAAAACCTATTATGAAATGACAGGCACATTTCCAAATAACCATCTTCTATGATTAACTATTTACAGAATTACTACTCCAATTACTCATAGCTAATATCAAGGAAAAAAAGGAAAAACAGTACCTCTGGAAAACCCAGTTCCTCACAGGCACTCTGAAAATGGGCACGGTGCCTATACATTTACCTGTAATCTTCAACGTTCCCATAAGAAAAAATATTACCCACTTTTTTCTGCGGGGGGCGGGGTAGTACCTGGAATGAAACTCAGGACTTGGTGCTTGGCAGGCAGGCGCTGTGCGATTGAGCTATCTCCCCGACCCACCATTTTACAGATGAGGAAATTAGGGGTCAGAGTTTAAGTTACCTAAGACCTGGGTATCTTCCCAAAGGAATTAAAAGCATCACACCACAGTGACATATATTTTACAGCAGCAGTCTGTAAAAGCCAAATCTTGGAAACAACCAGGTGGCCATCAACTTGTGAAAGAATAAAGACGTGGGTTTTTGTTTTGTTTTTACAATGGAGTACTACTCTGCCATAAAGGAGGATACGCTCTAGACATTTCTAGGAAAATGGATGCACCTGGAGTCCACACTCCTTAAGTGAAATAAATAGGACACAGTGTGAATACCGAATTGTTTCTCTGGTGCGAGAAAATTAAAGTGTAAATAAGGACCAAAATGTATTGTGAAATAGGAGGAAAATGTTCAAATGGGAAAGGGAACAAGTGAGAGTGGAGAGGAAAAGGAAAGAAGAGAAAAGTGAAAAAAATGATTAAAGAAAACATGGAAACAAAGCTTTGTAAATGGGGAGGGGCGGGGGGTTGAAGAGAGAGTAGGGGAATGAGGGGACAAAAACATGCTGTATCATGTACAAGTACAAACTCTATGATAAATGTGATCATTATGTATATCTAAAATGTACCAATAAAATCCAATTTAAAAAATAAACAATACAAGCCAGAAAAAAAGTTACCTAAGATCAGTTAAGTAAATGGACCAACATCTAATTCAGTTCTATAACATTACATGCTCTGAACTCTTCTGGTTACATACAGCATTAGTCTCTCAGACAGCCAAAATTTATTTGAAACAAATTACATGAAAACTCAGACTCTGAATTAATGGGATACTGAGTGAAATGTGTGATTTTCACTCCGTGTATTGCTAATTATAATACTTTTTAAAGTTTTTGCCGGGGATGTAGCTCAGCGGCACAAGCGCCTGCCTGGCAAGCGCAAGGTCCTGAGTTCGATTCCCGGTACTAAAAAATAAAATGTTTTGTAAAACATGATTCTTTAAAGTTTCTTTTTAAATAAAGCAGTATTATCTTCTTTGGGTGAGGCAGGTTAAATATGAGCTAAATTCAACTAGTTTTCCACCCAAGTAGGGTATGAGACTTCCATTTTAAACCAAAGATCTGTACCAACCAATAAACTGTAGCCCCCAAGAAACAATTTAACCGGACTCTCCAATTCCAATCCGTAAAAGCAACATTCCCTGTCAAACAGAACTTTATATATACAAGTGTAAATACAAAGTAGACTTAATAGGCAAATGGAAACGTGTCGCCTACATCTCATATCTGTGACTAACTGTGATACTGACGAGGTATGCTTTTAGCACTGTCCTCTCGTTTAGCACGGTCACACGGGTCAGTCTAGGGCCAACTGTAAGCTATCAAGGAGGGGCAGTGCAGTCACCTCCTCATTAGAGGGGAACGGTGAGCCCGGCCGGACGGCGGCCCCTGCCCGCTCCAGGTCATCCGCTCAGCCCAGGCGTCCGGCTCCCAAGGGTTCGGCGGGACGCGCGAGCGACGCCAAGGGATCCCGGGAGGGGTCGAGCGGCCCGCCCGCCGTTACCTTCCGCGCCGGTCGGGCCCCGACCCGGGAACCGCCGGGCTGTAGTAGGCCGTGCGTTTGTGCCTGGCTGCGGCCGACGCCGCGCCGCTGCGCACCGGGTACAGAGGGATCTGGTCCGCCATGTTCGTCCCTCCCTACCCGCTCTTCTCAACCCCGCGTCTATCCCCACCCTCTCGCTTCAGCTCCAACCCGGACGCGGAGACGCCCGCGCCCCTCCGGACCCCGGCGGCGTCGCCTCCCGATGGCGTCAGAGAGCGGCAGAGAAGCGGAGGGCGTAGCCAGATAGGCCCCGCCCACGGCCGGCGCCTGATGACGTCACTGCAAAAGCTAGCACGGGAGTCCCTAGGTTCCGCCCTGGGCGCCAGGGCCGATGACGTCACTAAAAGCGGGGCGTGCCCAGCGGTACCTTCTCCCAAGTGAGGTCCAGCTGCGGTGAAGGGTAGCACCGTGGTCCCCCGGAAGCCGACTGGAGGGTCAGGGTCACCTGGAACCCCCTGCAGCTCGCGTGGTCGGATCGCAGTAAACTCACGGAGACATCCACTTGGGCAGCAAACTACTTTCTCGTCCGCCCCGCGCTTCTGGACGTCGCGAAGCTCCCCGAACCTCTCCGTGGGCGCCCGCCGGCTTCCCTTCTGACAGGGGAGGCCAGCAGGCGCGGGTATTCAGTCCTCACTCCTTGCTCCCCCAAGACTTTGAGTTCCTACTTCATTCATTCCTCAAGCTCTTCTACCTGCAAAGTTGTTTAGATTTCTCCTACTCTTAAAGAAATTGCTGGATTTTAGTCCCTTAAATTACTAAGAGAAGTTACGATTAAGTCTTCAAAAAGTTCTGACCTTTGCCAGTTTATATTTAAATATGTTATTTAGAGTTTAGGACTTCGATTTAAATTATTTCCATTTTTTAAATTTGAGGTTTAAATAAATAAATAAATTTGTGGTTTGCTTTCTGACCAGGTATGCGGTAAGGTTTTTAAGTCCCTATATATAATGCTTACATTAATTCCAAGATCAAGAACGCTAAGGGTCTGGTGAATTTCTAAACTCTACCCCAGTACCCACGGTCTCTGTAGTGTTCCTGGGGATCTTGGAGAGGAGTGTGGTCTCCGAAGCATTAGGTGCCTGCCCTAGCATTCCTTAGGACCCTGCTAGGGTTCTCTAGGCAAACAGAAGCAGTAGGAGATTATCTGTAGAGTGGTATGTGAACTTCTGTGGAAGGACTTATTGTTAAAATACCGGTTTATATGATTATGGAGGATGAGAATTCCCACAATCTGCTGGCTGCCAGCTGTAGACTAAGGAAAACCAATGGTATAGGTTCCAGTCAGGGCTTGAGAAGGAGAAAGTTTGTATATATGTATATGCAGGATAGTTAACACGAGTGTTCTACTGTCCTGTATTTCCTTGCTGAAAGAAACTGTCAGTGAGGCATTGGTTGATTAGCTTTATATGTCTATATGTGTTTTCATGAGAAACTACATTGAAGATATCAATATGTAATACAATAAGCATTGTTAATTCCCTACCACTCTGTTTGTAACTCTGTAATGTCTGTACTGATCCTATGCTATTTTGTAAAATGTTGTCGGTCTGTTAGTATTTTCCTCCTTTAATTTCTAAAATAAAAAAAAAAACAGGCCAAGGCAGGAAAGGTAAACATCTAAAACAATTATGTAATTCTACTCTTCTCAGCTGTCAATGGATTGGATGATGCCCACCCATGTTGCAGGGAGGGATTGTCATCTGCTTTATTCACTCCACCAGCTCCAATGCTCCAGTCTCTTCCGGAAGCACCCTCAAAAAGCAAATGGAGAAATGTTTACCAGCTATTCCATGGCCCAGTAAAATTAACACGGTTAACCTTAAGATGCCTTCTGTAATAAAGCCTCTGGAAACCCTCACTGTTCAGGAAAAGAGTTACTCACATAACACCTGCCATCCCTAACACTGAGCAATTATTTTGAAACATCCAGACTGCTCACTTGTCCCCTTCAATGAAGGACTATCAAGTATATGTGAAGACTCACTGAAACATCTCCCACACTTCCAAAACTCGCAGCTTAATCCAATGCTTGTCAATTAGAGTATAGATGCGTCCTATTTTTACTCTATAAAATTTAACTTACTGTCACCCTTGAACTGTTGAAAATGTGAAGTGGGTTCCCTTGCTCTGAGTTTATAAACACTATTTGGATACTGTTCCAGATTTGTCTTTCACAATTTATTTGTTGCAATGTCTATATTTTTATTCAAAAAATCATCTCATTTTCTTTATCCATCTATTTCATTTCTGACTGCTTTGTCTCATTATTTATCTGAATGGGAAGTGTTTCAGTTGTTGATCTAAACGGGTGTTGGCATTAAGATTTCTTCACATGTCTGAGAATTTAGATTTGCAAAGCCATTTTAAGTGGGAGAAAGAGAAGAGCTATTATTCTTTTCATCCTTCGCTCATCCCTCATCTCCTCCTTCCCTGTCTTTATTCCTCCTTATTTGGGAAGGAGGAATATTTGGTAATGTCACTGTTACTTGTACCTGGAGTTCAGAATACACTCCTACTGTGGAATCTCAAGAACCCCTGTGATAGTCGTAGAATGGCAGATCCAGAATCTGCAGTCCACTGGTTCATTTGCCACCCATAGCCTGAAAAAAAAAAAACTATGAAACTGTAAGAAACAGGATTTTGTCTGATTGGTTGGTTAATGTATTCATCTGTTTTCTATTACAATGATGAATAGAAAATCATGAATTTTATTTTTTAAAAGGGAGATGATCTGTTGATGGATATATAGCTTCTTCTAAGATTTAGTTATTATGAATTGTGCTGCTATAAACATGTGTGCATGTATCACTGTACTAGGATGTCTTTAACTCCTTTTAACTATAAGAGGAATACCTGGGTAAAATGGAATTTCTACTTTTAAGTTTTTGAGGAATCTCCACACTGATTTGCATAGTAGTTTTCCATTTTACATTCCCACCAACAATAAAGAAGGGTTCCTTTACCCCAACAGCGTCATCAGCATTCGTTGGTTGATTTCTCTTCTTTTTTACCACTGAGCTAAATCCCCGGCCCCAGTTAATTTCTTGATGATAGAAATTCTTTCTGCAGTGAGAATCTCCATGTTTTTTTAATTTGCAATTTTCAAAGGGCCAGTGACGTTGAACACTTTTTCATATATTTTTGGCCATTTGTACTTCTTCATCTGAGAAGTGTCAGTCATTTCAGATGTCCATTTTTTGATTAGGTTTTTAAATTTGGAAGGTCTAACTTTTTTTGAGTTCTTTATATGTTCTACATATTAATTCTTTGAGGAGTAGGCGGCAAAAACATTTTCCCATTCTAAAGATTGTCTTTTCATTCTATTTGTGATTTCCTTTCTTATGCAGAACATTTTTAATTTGATGTTACTGTATTTTTTGATTCTTGGTATTATGTCTTGTGCAACTGGGGTTCTGTACAGAAAGTCCTGTCTGTACTTACGTTGTCAAGAGTTTTACCTATTTTGTCTTCCAGCAGATGAAGTGTTTCTGTTTTAATAGTTAGATCTTTGATCCATTTTGATTTTAGTTGAGTGTATGTGAGAGATATGGGTCTATGATCAGTCTTCAGCATTTGGATAACCAGTTTTCTCAATGCCATTTGTTACAGCGGCTATCCTTCCCTTTGAAAGTATTTGGCCGCTTTGTCAAAGCTAAGGTAGGTGAGTGTTTCTGCATCCTCTATTCTGTTCCATTGATCCACAAGTCTGTTTTTTTCCCCCAAGTATCATTCTGTTTTTATCACTGTAGCTTTGTAGTATAAATTGAAGGCCAGGATTGTGATGCTCCCTGCCTTGCCCTTGTTTTCCCAAATTGCTTTTGCCATTCCAGGCCTCTTCTGGTTCCATGTGAATTTTAGGATTCTTTTATATAGTTTTGTAAGGAATGCTATTGGTATTTTGATTGGGATTGTTTTAAATATTATAACAGTTTTGGAATTATGGCCATTTGTACTATATTGGTTCTGTCCACCCAAGAACAGAGGATATCTTTCCATTGTCTGATATCCTCTTTAATCTCCTTTTTTCAGAGTAGGATACTGTAGTTTCCATTGTAGAGATCTTTTCATCTCATAGGTAAATTCATAAGTATTTCATTTTTCTTTATGCTGTTGTGAAAGGTACTATTTCCCTGATTTCCCTCTCAGTGAGTTAGTTATTGGTGTGCAGGAGCATTGTTGATTTTTGAGTGTTGACTTTCTATCCTGCTATGCTACTGAATTTAGTTATTAATTCTAGGAGTATTTTGGTGGTGTTTGAGCTCCCCTAAAAAGTACCACAGGACCTCAGCACCAGTGAAGTCCCAAGCTCCTCTGATGATAAGTACAGCCAAGTTCCCATCAGGAAAGCCAACGCACCAAGCTTCTCCAGGAGACTGAGTAGTGCACCATCTTCCCATCTGGAGCCAGGAGGTGATGCTTAGAGTGAGGACCAGAGCTCCCTGCAACGTGAACCAAAGCCATTCTCAGCAACAACAAGGTCCCAACCTCCATGGAAGATGAAAACAGCCAATTTCATCAGGAAAGCCAACATGACAAGCTCCTCCAAGAAAACCAACAGCTCCTTACAGCTTCTCTCCACTTTCAACAGGCTCCCTATAGCTTCTTCCAACTCTCAACAGCCTTCTCAGTTCTCAGCAGCCTAACTTTTTCTTCTCCAGTTCTGCCTCTTATGCTGCTGGCAACAATCCTCAGATGGGCCTCCCACACCTGCACCATGCTTACTCAGTTCAGCTGGATATTATAAGTTGACCACCAGTTGTCAGTCCATCACAATCCCCCCCTGGTCAACTTGATAACCATACTCATTTGCTTAATCCATGGTGTCTAGTGGAAGATTGTTCAGCTTCTGCCTTGAATCCTCCAGGCTTCCAGTGTAGACTCCTCAGCCTTCCCTCACAGACCTATCGGCCTACTGATGCAGACTTGCACAGAACACTGCAGTGAACTTCAGACTTTGAACTAAATCCTTTGGTCTCCAGTGTGCAGGCACTCTCTGCATGCTTCCTCATTCAACTCTGTGGCTGACCATCATAAGCCAGTCTTGTAATTTCTTATACATTTGTATATCTTGTGTTATATCTGTTTCTCTAGTAAAACCGTGACTGGTACAAGACCCAAACTAAAAAAAACAAACAAACTTCAAATCATAACAGTAGCTTTATCACTTGTATCAAGGGCTCTTTAGGCAAAATCTTCTG